CCCGGAGTCCCAAAGCGGCGCCGTTTGTGAACATCTTTGGTATTCCTCGACATTTCGGCCATTTCTAAGAGCTGTGGACTAACCGTTTGGTTGGATTCGCGCAGAATCTCAATCAACTCGTTGGCCTGTTTTGCCTCATTTTGTGAGAGGAAAGTAAACGCCGTTCCCTTCTTATCGCGACGACCGGTGCGACCAATTCGGTGGACATAGTCTTCGCCAGTGTTGGGATAATCATAATTAATGACATATTTAATGTCATCCACATCTGTCACATATAAACACCACTATAATTAGCATACATTACATACACTATACTCTTAGACTAGACTACAAACCCAATCCACGGGCGGCAACATCAGTGGCCACAAGAATTGGGATCCGATTGCTTCTGAAGTCTAAAAAGAGAAACCGTTTACTAAATGCTTTAAGTTATGGATAACTAAGAGACAGACCGCTGAGCACTCGGTCGCGAACGGCCTGTGATTTGTCGCCGTGAATACTGACGGCGCGGAAGCCCTTCGACTGCAACCCATTCGTCAAATAGTCGACCGATTGCTTAGTTCTCGCGAATATCAAAGTCTTGCTGTCTTTGGACTCGCCTTTGATTCTATGCAACACTTCAATGAGTTTCGCCTTTTTGTCGAAGTCTTCGCAAATCTCGACGATCTGCTCGATGTTCTTATTGGCCACCAATTCATTGCCGCCGACATTGATCTGAATGTAGTCTCGCATATAGTGCGCGGCCAACGCCTTCACCTCCTTGGGCCACGTGGCCGACCACATGACGGTCTGCCGCTCTTTGGGCATCTGGTCGATGATGCGTCTGATCTGTGGCTCGAAACCCATGTCAAGCATGCGGTCGGCCTCGTCCAGCACCAGGTAGTCGACTGTCCGCAGGTCGACAACAGAGCTCTCGACGAAGTCATTCATGCGTCCGGGCGTTGCGATTATGATCTGCGGGTTGTTATTGCGAAGCGCTTGCATTTGCGGCATTCGGGAGGCGCCCCCATACAGACACACACTGCTCACGAACTGGTAGCGACGCACCACCGACTGGATCTGTTGGGCCAACTCGCGAGTGGGCGCCAACACCACACACTTCGGCCCCCTTTGCACGCCTTCCCTCGCGATCCGTACAAAAGCGGGCAAAACATAGCACAACGTCTTCCCGGAGCCCGTCTGCGCCACTCCCACCATATCCCT